AATTATTGTATAAGTAAAAATAATTTCTTATGAAACGCGTTTGATAGACCAAAACAGTGACCAAAACAATGACCAAACCACAGATTAAAATTATTGCAATAATAAGTTTCTTACAAAAAAACGTCTTTGCAAATGTTACATTAATTTTTATTTACAAATCGTGAGATGCGGTCTGGTGTGATGTAGGTTTCAGAAAACATTTTCTTTATTGTGCCAACGTTTCGATCTTTATTGAGATCATCTTCAGGGCTCAAAGTGTTTATCTTCTGTGTAATTGTGCCATTCTTGCGTGTCGTGTAGAGAGTGCCCTGAGTTACATTAATAAAAATAAGAAATTATTTTTATTAATGTAAGATTTGCAAAGGCGTTTTTTTAGAATCTTATTATTGCAATAATTTTAATCTGTGGTTCGATCATTGTTTTGGTCTATCAAACGCGTTTCATCTTTTCGATATTTCCAAGTCCCCGTGTAAAACAAAACGCCACAAAAATCGGCAGGAAATATAACAATCATTTACTGCATTTCATACAAAACTTAGATGTAAAAAGTTACTAAGTTATGAAGAAATGTCAGTAATATATGATTGTTTTACCGGTTCTGTAATAGCCGTCGAGAAGGCGTGTGGCATGAAATTAATAGCGTCTTTATAGGTTAACAACTTGCTATTACTCTTGCCCACGTACAGATCTTGTCTTTTGCAAAAACTAAGCAGTTTATCAATTTACTAGACGATACATTAGCAAACTTTCGTCTCATTGTTAGACATTTTCTTCAATGAAAATCATCGTTTTATTTAATTTATTTGGTATAATATATTGATTTTTTGTTGGGTGATGAATATAATTGGTTGCCACTCGGTGCGTTAATGCGTCGTGCAGCAGTGAAGTTCTTGGTATTCAAGCGGATAGATTTTTACCAAACTGCTCAATAATTCAATTAATTAAGGTTTTCAGTTGAGATAAAAAGTCAATGGCACGAGCGGGATTCGAACCCACGATCTTCGGCTTGATAAGCCGCTGCTCTACCACTTGAGCTATCCTGACCTTGATCCACTCGGACACTAACTTCCCATCTCAACCCCACCTTTTGAATTTTCCCTCCTTTTTGCCATTTTTCAAATGTCATGTAATCAATTTGATTCTCGGCGACAAATAAAATGGCCACGGAGAGCTTTAGTGAAGTATACTTCATTTTAAACTTATTAAATTCAGTAGTTTCGTGGTCCCCTTGACCAATTAATATCTTACAATTAATTAAGGTTTTCAGTTGAGATGGGAAGTTAGTGTCCGAGTGGATCGAGGTCACGATAGCTCAAGTGGTAGAGCAGCAGCGTATCAAGCCGAAGATCGTGGGTTCGAATCCCGCTCGTGCCACTGACTTTTTTATCTCAACTGAAAACCTGAATTAATTGTAAGATATTAATTGGTCAAGCGGACCACGAAACTAGTGAATTTATTTATAATTTTTCGCAACCCAATGTCTTACCTTCGGGAAATTTTCTTCCCTAGGATGATCCCAAAATCTAAAAAAACCTAATCACCTTCTTAGCTCTTACTGTCCTTTTGTCAATTACGGGCAAAATACTGGAAAAGCTGTTATTGCCACTCGACTGTCTAACAAGCACATCGGAAGGTAGGCATTTTCAATCCTTTGACCGGATTGGTCGACTATTGTGGAAGCTCAAGAACATTCTGCTTGTGACTTATTACCTTATCCTAAGATGCTAACTTAACGATCGTTACTTCTAAGTTCTCACAAAACTTCATCATCTCCTATCCATCCTATTGTAACAGGTGCCCTACAAGGCAGCGTCCTCGCTCCTCTACTTTACACCTCTGACCTCCATACGCAATGTAACACTATCACCCATAACTTTGCCGATGATACAATCCGATCTCCCGGTAAAGATCACATAACAACTTCGCTCTATCAATTTACTTTATCCTTGCCTTTGTCAGTAGAGAATCAAGGTTAGTTCAACATCAACACCTTACGCTCCCACCAGTATACATCAACAAAGATCCCATCCCTGTTTACTACTTTATATTGCCCCGGTGTCACCACATTCGGACATACGGACTTGAACTCTACGCGTTGGCTAAACGACCCGACCTTAATCGAATCCAATCCCTCTCATTTAAAATCCTCAGAACAATAGTCAATGTCATATTCTATGTTTCCAATCACACCATCAATACCGACATAAATGTTCCTCTTGTTACTCTAGCACAAACCCACTACAAAAGGTTCCATCCAAAGCCATCTTGTCATCCGTACTCTTTTGTGAAAAACCTATCATCCACCACGATACCTAATAATCCTAAAGGAGACTGAAGTGCCCATAGGTTTGCGATAACCTCACTACTTGATTTCAGTCTCCTTGGATGAAGCGCATCTCACGTGTCGTGTTGTAATAACGGCTTCCTTCATTGGATGTTTGCCGTTCACGTTTCCATGTCATTGTCTATTTTGGATTTGAATTTATGCAGGCTGAAATCAGCGCATGTACCCACATACATACAAACATGTGCCAAGTTGAGTATTATGCACTTTTCGTAATCCACCGTCAATTTCACCTGTGTGTGGTGATTAGTGACCTTTTTTTTATTGGCCTTATGATCTATGTATATTAGCCATGGTGACGAATTCTTATATATGTATGTTCAAATTGAGGGTTATCGGGAAAAAAGGGCCAGAGGCGACGGTGGGAATCGAACCCACGACCGCGGCGTGAGAGTCTCTCATGCTACCCACTCGGCTACCGCGGTCCCCCTAGTGACCGTTAGACTATGATTATTCAGAAATCGTGAGATGCGGTCTGAAGATGATCTCAATAAAGATCGAAACGTTGGCACGATAAAGAAAATAGTCAATTTCAGCTTTTGCTATTTATAGTAATTTGCCTTCAGACTCGAGAATCACCCTCCCCGGGTGATGGTAGCCCGCAGTCTTATCCGTCCAGCCACCAGGTTTCAGGGGATTGGTCAACAAACTTGGTAATTTCAACACAGAACACATAATTTTTTAAATTCTAATACAAATTACTCAGTTATGATGGTGGGTTATTTGATATTCCTCCATTACCCTTCATATTACACAACTAACCTAATTGATGGTCGATTGGGTGAGTACTCGATATTCCGCCATTGACCCTCTCACACATGCTAATAAGTACGTTATCTCTAAGAAGCACATTCACGCTAATACATTCACTCTCTACACAAAGCTATGCATACTCAATTAATATTACTGTGCATAATATAAGTATCCCGTTTCTTGAATGAATTGGAACAGTAGACCCAAATACTCGCTGCCGTGCTTAAACGCAATTTTCAAATCGGGTGGCATTCCTGCCCGCTCTGTGTATGTAGCTAAGGAATTGCACCTTTCAATTACCCTCCATAGAGCAACCTTTCTTTGCCGGACACATACGCGGACTTTGGCACAAAAGTAAGTGTCCGTGTGTCAATCTCGCATGGCCTATTCTTAATCGGGTGAGGTACTTCTAGTCAGACCTTCAGACTACCGACAATGCTCTTGATACGTGAGAGTCATAGTTTTTTTGTAAGTATAACTGTATGTTTTACTTGCTGAATCGAATGAATAAAACTGATAAAAACGAAGAATTAAATATATAATTTTTTTCTTATTTTGAGTTATAACTACGATCAAAATTTAATAAATATTTTAGATACCCCTAAAAATATTTTTTTAATTTTAAATTTATGGATTTTTTGACCCATTGATTTGAAAGATTTTTTTAATTTAAATTTTTTAAATTTATGAGAAGTCGTTTTCGGAATATCTGACTGAAATGACTATAATTCAAAAAGGGTTAAAATAATTTTAAAATTTATCCAAAATTCAGCCGTCTCTAGAAGTGCTACAACGAAATTTCATATTAATTTCACGAAAAAAATTATAACCTATTTTACTTAAAACGTATTTGATTTTTAGAATTTTTTTATAATCTTTGATGGCTTTTACTACATTTTTATTAGAATCCACATAAAAAAAATGCTGTAAAATTCTATATTTGTATAGTTGATTTGAGCAAGTTGAAAGGCGAAATAAAAATATTAAAAATCGGAAAAATTTCAAATTCCTATTCGCAAGAAGTGGCGAATACATGTCCGATATTTTGGATTGTAGAAACTTGAAAAAACGTTTGGTCCACATCCGTGACCCACCGACCTCGTAAGTTTTATCGATACAAACTTTGATATTGTGTTATGTTTATAATTTTTAAAAACGCCAAACCATTTTTTATAATTGTTTATTTGGTATATTTTGGTGTATTTCCTACATCAAAAACTATACGAAGAAAAATTAAGTCAATTCTGATCAATACATTAAAAATTAAAAAAATCAAAGTCACTAAAACCCAACTATTTCGATTTATGGTAGTCAACAGAACAGAAAAAAATTAAAAGTAATGCGATAAAAGATCTGTGGAAAAGAGTTTTTATGGATTATTAAAATGGATTTTTATTTATTGTTTGTATTTTACTACACGAAAATGTGAAATACTAATATAATCCCTATTAATCTAGCATTACTTAATTTGTACTTTATTTTATCAATTAATTATTAATTAACCACAAATTAATCTTTTACATTAAAGAAAAGTAATGTAAGAATAGTTGATTATGAAGATTAATGTAAACTAAATCTTGAAACGACTAAATTTACCTTACCAATTTAAAAGACGGTTGTCAATATCGAAAGCAGCGGGATTATTATAATTGAAATAAATTATTAGTAATATAAAAATCTTTGTTACATGAAATAGAGCCCTGTAAAAGACCGACTAATTGCTGTTGGAAGTAAAAATAAAGATTTGAGAGAATGTTGTAAAAATAAGTCAATTAGTGTCAAAAAAAGGATTTTTACAATGGGAGGATATTTGTACTTATCACGAAAATAGGACCTCTTCGAAGGCCGGGAAGTGATATTAAGACGGTCCCCTCCCTAAATAAAAATTGAATGCCAAGGATATGGGAAAACCTATATAAACGAAATGACGGATCTGATCTTCCACTGTCGACTGGATTCTCCTGCAATGGCTCTGGTGAGTAAGCAAACATGTTTGGATGGTAAAACACCCGAAAATACATGGTTGAAATATTTAACAAATAATTGGTCCATTTTAGAAATTCGTTCTCCTCGCCGCCTTCGTGGCCGCTGCCAACGCTCAATTTTACACCAGCGGCCTCGGGTACCGCCCTGTCGCTGTGGCTCACGCCCCGGTGGCTGTCGCTCACGCCCCAGTCGCCGTCGCCAGGGCCGAAGAGTACGATCCTCATCCTCAGTACAACTTCGCTTATTCTGTCGATGACGCCGTTACCGGAGACTCCAAGAGCCAGAGCGAGACCCGCGACGGCGACGTCGTCCACGGAAGCTACTCCCTCGTCGAACCCGACGGCTCCAGGAGGGTCGTTGAATACACCGCCGACCCCGTCAACGGATTCAACGCTGTCGTACACAAAGAAGCCAACGTCGCTCACGCTCCAGTTGCCGTCGCTCACGCACCCGTCGCTGTCGCTCACGCCCCCGTCACTCTTGCCAGGACCTATACCCCGTACGCCACTGTCGCCCACGCACCAGTCGCCACCGTCGGACACTCCAGCCCTGTCTTCCACTACTAAATGTTTCCTCGTACCTGTTGTACAGAATTAGGCATTAAACGTTAACGAAACAAATACCACTTGTTGTTTTTTAATATTAAATTCCATCAAGAAAATTTTGCAATTTAGTTCAACTAAGCCTGCAGGTCTGGTTTTAGTCTTGAACTTCTTCATAGATTGTGATTTTCAATACTGAATTTACTATCTAAGACAGGAGAGATATAATAATCTAAAAATAATTATGGTTTTTCATCATGAGTGTGAAAAAACGCATAATACATATAACTCTGGTGAAGCACATAAAATTTTATCATTGATTTTGACAGTTAATTGTTGCCGAACTATTAAAACCAATATTAAACAATACACCGACAAGGTTAGATGACCTGGCCATAATTTCATTACTTAATTTTTCTTTTTACATTTGCAATATTTTTTTAAATTCACTAATTTCGTGGTCCGCTTGACCAATTAATTTATTACAACTAATTAAGGTTTTTAGTTGAGATAAAAAAGTCAATGGCACGAGCGAATGGCAAAAAGGAGGGAAAACTCAAAAGGTCGGGTTGAGATGGGAATTTGGTGTCCGAGTGGATCGAGGTCACGCTAGCTCAAGTGGTAGAACAGCGGCGTATCAAGCCGAAGATCGTGGGTTCGAATCCCGCTCGTGCCATTGACTTTTTTAACTCAACCTTAATTGTTTTTTTAAAATTTATATATAATCTGGCCAAAGAGAATACATCCTTGAAATATACAGTGCGTTCTATAATTGGAGATGTAAACTGCTCGAAAATGCATAGGGTTATTGCCAATTTTGTAGTGGTTACCTTCCCTAGAACTACTTTCCCTTTCTTAGAATGTTTTACGTTTTTTACTAGAGGAAAATTAATTAAGGAATTTTGAAAAATAACAAAGTAAAAGGTTTTTGTTTCTTGGATACAACAATTTTTTTAAAGAATTTATGCCGTTTATAATGTCTGTAAGCTAAAACCTTTGTGCATCTGTTAGGCATATTGTTAATAAGATTCAATTAATTAAGATTTTTAGTTGAGATAAAAAAGTCAATGGCACGAGCGGGATTCGAACCTACGACCTTCGGCTTGATACGCCGCTACTCTACCAAGAGTAGCTAGTTCTCGTCGTCCTCATTACCAATTAATATCATTCAATTAATTAAGGTTTTTAGTTGAGATAAAAAAAGGTTGAAAAATGGCAAAAAGGAGGGAAAATTCAAAAGGTGCGGTTGAGATGGGACGTTAGTGTCCGAGTGGAGCGAAGTCACGATAGGTCAAGTGGTAGAGTAGCGGCGTATCAAGCCGAAGGTCGTGGGTTCGAATCCTGCTCGTGACACTGACTTTTTATCTCAACTAAAAACCTTAATTAATTGAATGATATTAATTGGTCAAGCGGAAGGAATTTCCCTTCATACATGTTGCAACGGTGCACTCACTTTTTACAGGTCAACTTTCTGCGGATGGTGATCAAAAAGACTCATCCCTTGCGTGCTCAATGGGATTGAGGTCTGGAGACAATGGGTGAAGGGGCAGATGGGAAATTCCCATGTTTTTTAAACATTGATAAACAACTCTGCTTTTATGAGGACTGGCATTGCCATCTAGAAATCGAAAATCTCTACCAATGAGATCCTGGTTTGAGGGATGTATTCCGCGATAAAATCTTGGTCACAACGGGCTGCGGTGATGTTACGTTCAACAATATTCCAGTCCAGTTCGTCATCCGAAGTAAATCCCAGCCCATACCTATCCACTACTAGACCTCCTATTTGGCACTTCCAGTCTCTCAGAATCGAACTAAAGCCCGGGAGACCTAGCTCTGAGAAATGCCACCTGCCTCTGCGATATCCACGTCCAGTGACCTCGATGATTCATTCTCACAATAATATTGAGGACCTCTCCTTCAACATAATATCTTTCCATGAGTAATGAGACTACAATTGGATTAAAATGGAGAAAAGACGAGAAAAGGTGTTTTTCTCGAACCCACGACCTCCGACTTTTTAACCCGGTTCTCTAACTACTTGAGCAATCGTGGCTTCGGTCCTCGGGGCACCAACTCTAATAGCCGGAGGTCGTGGGTTTGAGTCCAGTCTTGACACTAATTTTTCAACTCAATTACAATTTATATAAAAATTATACATCAATTTAAATTATTAATTTACTATTTTCATGGTCCGCTTGACCAATTAATACAACACAATTAAAAATAAGTACACTTCATTCTAAAGCTCTCCGTCGCCATTTCAATTGTCGTCGAGAATCCAAACCGATTACACGACATTTGAAAAATGGCAAAAGGAGGGAAACTAATAAGGTGGGGTTGAGATGGGGAGTTGATGTCCGAGTGGACCGAGGTCACGATAGCTCAGGTGGTAGAGCACCGGCGTATCTAGCCGAAGGTCGTGGGTTCGAATCCCTCTCGTGCCATTAACTTTTTTTCATCTCAACTAAAAACCTTAACTAATTGTGTTAAATCATTACTTTGGTTAATTAGGTGCAAGTGATATCCCTATGGACTAACACAATAATTACTGAAGTAATTTCTCTATGGTAATCGCTCCCCGTGGAGAATCCAATACGCTTACACGAAATTTGAAAATATTACCGTATATTTTCAGGAGAGAAATTTGAAAATGTTGTAGGATGACATGAATTGGTGTCCTGAGGGATTGAATTTACGACAGGTGAAGTAGTTCGAGTCCCGCTCGTGACACTAATTTTTCAACTCAACTACACTTTACATTATTATAAATCAATTTACATAATACTGAAACTAAACTATGTAGTAATAACACAATATAAAATAAGGCTAACTTCGGCAATAGGTGAAGAAAATTTAAAAGTAAGAAAAAAACACAAATTAACTTCTGTACTGTTGATTGAAAAAAAAGTAAAACTAAATGAAATAAAAATAAATAAATTAGCACAATGTTACATTTTGGCGTTCATAGTGTTATAAATAAGTTATTCTTCTATAAAAAAATTCTTTCAGTTTTAGCGCTGAAATCACAAACTTATACAAATCATTAGCTCCTTTTAATGTACTAGAGCAGCGCGGGCACCGGCCGGAAAGCGAGCGCGTAGGTCGAGCACCTCTTCAAGTGCAGAAGGCTTGATGTATATAGACAAGATTTTGGCATATCATCGGACCTGTGAGTAGTCTTGAGGCACGGCAGCGGGCACAGATCGCTGTTCCGGTACCTCAGGGCTATAGGGATTTTTAAATGTATATAGTTTTATGTGTTTGTGTTGTGTCTGTGTTTGACTTTATGTTAATTTATCGGATTGAATGTAATTTATTAGCATGAAAGGAAGGGGTTATTAAACCCCGCCCCGAGGAATATCAGTACTCTGCGAGAGTGAAAGTGACCAGACCTCTATGTTTCTATCGAGTATGTGTTTTGTGTTAATTTATCGTAATGAATGTAATTTATTAGCGTGAAAGGAAGGGGTTGCTTAAAACCTCGCCCCGAGGAATATCAAGTACTCTGGGGTGAGTGTATGACGTCTGGAGAGTAAAAGTAATTTATTAGCGTGAAAGGAAGGGGTTGCTTATAACCCCACCCCGAGGATTATCGAGAACTGTGGGGAATGAATGTGACCAGACATCTACGTTTGTGGTGATGTATATATATGTTTTTATTCTGTATTTGACAACCTGAGGTACAAACGAGAGACTAGCATTCTAGAATATCAACGTAGTATATATCTGAAATCAGAGAGTCAGTAACCAGATCGAGACCCTCAAATGCTGCAGTTTAAAACAAAATATGCGCGAAAGAAAAGAAAAAGATGGAAAACACGCCGAGGGCCGGCGATGACAACGTTGTTAATGCAGTTTGTCGGCCCATAAAATTCCCACTTATATATATAATGTATTAGAGGATAATAAATCAAGTATGCATCGTCTGGGAGGTAGATACGAAAAACATTTTTTTTCTAATAGCGAAGAATAAATGTAATGATTCTAATTCCTTCGGTTACAAATTGAGCATGATATTTCCGGATCGATAATGTATTTTTTCTTCAAATAGATGATTATATTATTTACGTTGCATTCTAGTTGGCTGATTAATCTCAACTTGTTAATGCTCGTTCTCAAATACAGGTTGAGCTCGCCAAGACCCTGATTGGTAATCCTTCTGAAATGGGAAAAGATTATAATCCGGGGGGATTATAATTCGAATTGAGCGCTGAATGTTTGCCCTGTGGCTAAAAATGATTTGGGCATTTTCTGACTATTGTAAATAATGAAATAATTTCCTTGCCATTAGAAGACAGAAACAGATTAACAAGCAATTTTAAAGTACTTTCTATTTTTTCTAATTTCTGCGTTAGCATTTGAAACGATATTGTCACCATCTCTCTCTCTCTCTCTCTCTCTCTCTCTCTCTCTCTCTCTCTCTCTCTCTCTCTCTCTCTGTACATATAGCATATATCCTAAACAATAGATTTCTGACAAATTTTTGAGGTTAACTTCCAAATTATCTTAATAACTAATCTGCATTTTCAATACAACATTGTCTAATTTTTATTCGCGGCGTTGTATTTATTTTAGGACTTTTTTCACGGTGTATTATTTGGTTGATTTTGCAAAATGTGGGTTTTCATGTGTGTAATCACTTTTCTGTCGTCAATTTTGAATCTCTTGCGAGAACAAACAAGCAAGTTTTAGACAATCCTGGAACTGTTTTGTGCTGAATGGTACTTTGTGTGGTTCTTATCTGTCGTGAGTTTCAGTTTCGCGTTGCCTTTATGAAGTCAACGAAAGTATAATACTGATGATGAGTACAGGGAAGATTACCGAGAAGGGAAATTATTCAAAGAAGTAGAAGAATAATCGTGAAGATATTTTATTAGTCTGATTTGTGTAATTGAATGATTTTCAAAACTCTCACATTTCCAAAAATATTAATGTCACCTATGAATTAGGTTCAAAATTAGCATTTAGATAGTTTGATAAAAATCAATATTGGGTAAATATTTAGCAAACGGTCTACAAGTAGTAGACTTTCATTTAAGAATATTATCTCTATTTAAAATATGCATTGTACATTAAC